GCCTTGGCGGTGATGGTGTCAATCCGAAATTCAGTTTTACTAACCCTCTTGGTGAGTTGAAGGTAGCAGGCCCTGGAGAGTTTTTGATTCCCCCTCGAGTAACCGATGCCGGTAGGTGTGGGGAACTTGAGACAGAGGTGCCTCATGGAGATGACGACCTCCAAATCCTCGAGGGCAGGCCGGCCGAGGATGATGTTATGTGCGCAGTCGAGGTTGACGACGACGAACTCCACTTCGAGCTTGGCTCTATGGGATCCGTCGCCGAACTCAACCATGAGGGTGATGACGCCCTCGGCGTCGATGCTGTCCCCCGTGAATCCGGAGAGGGGGGTGTTGATGTGCTGAAGGGACCCCCTGTCGAGTCCCAACTCTTGAAAAGTGCTGAGGTACATGACGTTGACAGAACTCCCCGTGTCGACGTAAGTCCGGTGGATGATGACGTCATTGATCTCAGTGCGGATGACGAGGGCATCCCTATGCGGCCGAGAACCCGAGGGGAGGTCCTCATCTGTGAAGAAGATTGGATCCGCCCTCGGCCGTTTAGTTGGGGGCACGTGGCTAACCTCCCCAACGTAAAGGGATTGAGCCCACTTCTTCCGCTGGCTGGTGGAGTCTCCACCAGTGTTGCCACCATTAATCATGTGAATGTGGCGCTTGTATTGCTGATGGGAGCCCTCTCCCTCGTCTTCGAGGCCGCCAATTTCACGCTTCTTCCCATGCGGGTTTCCCAGGGGAATGGTGTTGGGATTCACCCACTTGTTTACCTTCGGCGGAGGGACTTGATGATGTGGGGGGCCCTGGGGTGGAGGGCCCCGGATAAATTGAGACAAGTGGCCCGCCTGTATCAGCCTCTCGATGGCGTTCTTCAGCTGATGGCAGTCGTCGGTTTTGTGTCCATGGTGGCGGTGGAAGCGGCATTAGGGCTCATCAGGACCGATGGCATAAATCTCGAGGGGTGTGCGGGAGTCTCGCTCAACGAGCCCCCGCTCTTCCGCATGATCAAGAATGACGCTGACGGGATGCGTCAAGGGAGTGCGTGGGTGCTCCAGGAGGACGGGTTGCGCCCATGCCTTCGGATTGTTCTTGTAACCGCCCCCGGGTCTGGCTTGGCCACCTCGGGAGCGATCGTTGTACTGTGCCTCTCGGTGGACCGGAGGGGGAGGCCCTCCGGGCCGGTTCCTGCCTTCATTCTTCTGAGAAGGATCCGTGTTGCGGCGGTCCTTCTCGATTTCCTCCGCTTCAGCGTATCGGTCCCCCCGCTGAAGGGCCCTTGTATAATCGCGGGGGGGATCAGTGATAAGGCTCCGGGAGAAGTTACCATTGCGGAGGACGGTGTGAAAGAGGGCCATCAGGGTCCTGTCATCGGCGCCTTCGACCTCGAGGGAGGCCTGCCTCCAGCGTTCCAGGAAACTCCGAAGGGTTTCCTCCATCTGTTGTCTCACATTCAGAAGGTGGGAGAAGTGTTTCTTTGAGCGGTGCCTCCCGGCAAACTGCGTAAGGAAGCGGTGGGCAAGTTCTTGCCAAGAATCAATGCTGCCTTCGGGCAACCGATTGAACCACTCATACGCTGGTCCCTCCAAGGTGGAAAGGAACCAACGGCATAAGTATTCATCCGAGGCCCCCATCATCATCATGCTATTTTGATAGCGGCTATAGTGCTCCTGAGGATCCGTCTTCCCCTCATACGGTTTGATGGGTTGCCCGCGATATTTGTGGGGGATTTTGGCCGCCAACACCCTTGGAGTGAAGGGTGTTCTAGTGCGGAGTTGAATGAGGGGTTCGCCCGAGCCTTCGGCGAGCTTACGCTTCATTTCCTCCACTTGCGCCCGGAGGTCAGCGTACTCTGGGTCTGGCCTAGCTGTGGAAGCCGTCGGCGGTGCCTGACGATTCTCCTCAAGCTGGCGGAGGAGGGCCTCGATGATTTCGTCCTTGGGATCCTTCGGGGCAACCCCTTGGGAGTTGGCCCGGAAGGATTGCGCCTGATTGATCTGGTGCCTGGCGTCATCGGCATGGAGGAGGGCTTTGCCTTTGCTTTGCGGGGGAGGCACGCCCTCGGCGCCCGAAGCAGAGGCTCCACTCTCCTGGGGCCTGCTGAATGCCTGTTTCCCGAGGCGGTCTTGGACCCCTCGGTGCCCGGGAGCTCCCCCAAGCCTCTCAAGTACAGAGGTTCGGGGTCTCTCTTTCATCATGGGGCGCTTGTCCCTGGATTGGGTCTCTTGGGAGGCGGTATCCTGCGCCATGACCCCCTCGGCGTTTCCAATCCCCGGGGGAGGATTGTTGAACAGAGGGGGGGAGCGGTGGCAATTGAATAACATTTCCTCCAGCGTAGGGCTGGAGGGGTGTCTGAGAGGCGAGGGCTCCGGAATTGAGAGCCATGTTTTGAACAAAGGCCGCAAAGGCAGCCTGAAGATCGATGGCCGGGGCCGGAGGGGGAACTTGGTTCTCACTCCGATCCCTCCTTCGATTATCAAGGCCAATGCGGGCATCAGGGGCGTTCTTCTGTAGTTGTTGACGGAGGTCAGCAGTAGCCTGCTCCAACTCAAGGATGATACCACCCTCGGGTACTAAGAGCCTGTTGGAGGCCTCAGCCCCGTTGGTTTCGCCGGGGGCTATGTGGTTCTCCTCAAGGGTTTTGGACTGGGCACGGGTGGTTCTTCCCATTTTTGGTAAGTATTTTGTGTTTGGTAGAGGGGGAGGGTTTCTTACTTGATTGTTCTGACCTCTCAACGAGAGCACCAAATGATGGATAGTCTACCCGGGGGGTATCTTATCCGGGGGGATATTACGGGAATAACTTAGAGAGAAGTCAGAGTAAATAGGAGGAGAGAGAGTCGATTTTATTAAATGAACTCTGCGTGGTTTACAAGGTGAATAAGGGCTGCTATTTATAGCAGCAATAAATGCGATGAGAGGACACGTGTCAGTAATCCAACGGCCGAAGGATCACATCAGCCTGGTGGCACCGGCAGTGGTACGTCAACCGCATTGAATGCGGTTGGTGGATGCGACGTGGCATTAAATGCGGTGGTTGGCTGTCCCCAAAAGGAATCTTCGATGATTGAGCTAGCTCAGCCGAAGGCTCCTTGTGTAGCCGCGGGCTCCTTGTGTGGCCGAAGGCTTCTCCGATGCCGAGGGCTCATGTTTTTCGTCGTTTTCTCCCAGTCTCTTCTTATGTCAGAGAAAGCTGTCCTGTGAGTTCTGGAGCCTTCGGCCAAGGAGGCCGAAGGCACCCCAGTGCGTATTCTGGGCCACGTTGAGGCTTGGGTCGCTGCATTTTGGGCCTGAGTCGTTCTCTGGGCTCAACGGACTTGTGTAGGAGAAGTAGGAGTCTATGGGCCGGGGGTTCCTGGGCCATATACTCCATCACATACTTTGGTGGAGGACCCTAGGACTTAAAGTCCTTAACACTCGGATAATAAATTGGTGGAGGACCCTAGGACTAAAAGTCCTTAACACTCAAATATAAATTGGTGGAGTACCCAAGGATTATGTTATCCTCAAAACTCATAGATTATGATATTGAAATATGGACAAGGAGGAGTCCTATACACTCATAGGTATATGAGTCGGTTGGGGTTTTTAGTCAAGAATATTGACTATTACTATTTTCCCAAACAAAACAGTGATCCACGGATCCAGTATTTTCCAAATGTATATATACTAATAAGTATTTCTTAACTTGGGAGGAAAGACTATTTATATAAGTATCACCCTATGTTTGGGTCTTATACTTGAAACGCTAGTTATTCTAGCCTGCTACTCGCTCGGTACTTGTACTGACCCCTTTGGGCCCCCCCACCATTTCATGTTGAAGCTAGGGCTTGCTACCTGCACCTTCTACGGGTGACATCCAATTCAAGGAAGACGTGGTTCGTGCTTCCTCATGTTCTTTCAAATTACTAAACATTGCCCATGGATATTTTTATTTGTTTTAAACTACTTTTGGGTTTGCAGGCCCATGTTATTGGCCGAATGTGGCCTATGAATTACCGCTGAATATTTCCGCTATTCAATGGTTTAATTGTGATGTTATTATGTATGTTTACTACTGAGTATGGATGGATTGTTTTCTCGAACGCCTTGTATGATTTAGTGAGGTTGACCCGCGGGTAACGTCACTCGATTATACGACGGTTGTACACGCGCTTAGATTGCGATCTGGGGCGTGACAGGAAAGACCTATCGAATCTAGCCGTTTGGATATCCACAGGATTACAGGAAGAAAACACTCCGTAGATACCAGGCCGGAGGTCCTTCGCCTACCGCAACTACTCCGCGTACCGCCACTCCTCCTCTGCTGCTCGATCTGTTCCATATTCAGGTAAAATGATTTTAAAATAAACATTAAGTGTTAAGTTTTTTATACTTTCTCTTCGTTTTCCCTATACTTTTTATCTAATGTTTGTTTTGTGGCTTTAAATTTGAGATCTTGAATATTACTCCATCCGTCCCATTTTATCTGTCCTACTTTCCTTTTTGGGTTGTCCCAAAATAAGTGTCTTCTTTCCCTTTTTGGAAAGAAATATGCGGCCTACATCATTTCACTTTATTATATTCAAACTTCAACCACAATTTTTACTTTTTCAACCACTTAATTAATAATCGTGCCAAGTCAAACTAAGACACATAAAATGGGACAGAGGTAGTACCAATTTGATAATTCAAAGCAGAAGAGAATACTTATATATATCCGGAGTTTGCTTAATTTCTTTAAATCAAAGATCAGTCATGAAATAGTCCAGGTCAAAGTGTGTGTATTTTGGAATGTTTGTAATGTATTTGTTGAGTTGTGTCAATGAGAATTTCATTGAATCGATTTATTAAACTGTAATAATCATTCTAAAATTCAAATAGCACTAAATACCTTGTGATATGAGAAGTTATCTGAAGTAATAATGAATCTAATACATGTGTTACATATTTTTTTATTATCGGTAGAATTAAAATAAAACATTTCTTCTATTTAAGGGGTCATATAGGAGAATCTAGTAAAAGGAGTTGAGAGCGTTTTCTCTCCTGGGTACATTTGCGTCCCAGTTCTTCTTGTCCGTACAGGTCTTGGGTCCTTAATCTATGGATAATTGATGGTTTGATTCCGGTTTCTTGGTCGGATTTCACCCCTAAGTTCATTTCCGTGGTTGGATTTGAAATTAGAACCATGAATTACGGCCAAAAACTCAAAATCGATCTGGAAATTTGCTTCTTTTACTATTCACTCCAAAATCGATTTCTGTAAAAAGAGTTGATTTAAGGTGTTGTTTCTGGATGTTAAGGTTGGGTTGGTTCCTCTGACGACTTAATTGATCTTGTTCTTGAATAAGAAAACGTTGTTTAGCTGAAACCTAAAACTCCGGACACTGTTCATCATTCCCGCCGCTACTGGTTCGATGCTCATATTCAGGGGTTACGGATAGAATACTCTTTGACTTCAGCTGCGTCTATTGGTGTTTGGGGTTTGTCTCTGCACAAGAGCAAAACGTGTGCTGCGTTTTGCTGGAGTTTGGGGTTCGCTTCTGCACAAGGAGTTTTGCAGACCACGCTGAACCTTTCACCTCTCCATGGTGAGGAAGAAGTCCGTGTCTGTGGAGCCACCAACTAGTCGAGCTACTAGGTCGAAATTTGCCCTCCTTGCTGATATTGTGATATAGATGAAGAATTCCCAGTTCTTAAGAGAGCTGGGGCGGATTCCATTGTGGCAGAACATACTGCTGGTGTAGGGGAGCCTTCCGCTGGGAAGACTATTGCTGCAGGAGTTACTGCTATATTTGGGCAGACTGCCCCCATCCAGCAAGATGCTACTGAGGCAGGAGTTTCTTCTCTTGTGGTCCCGATTAAGGTAACTGTTGCTGCTACTGAGAGTGTGCAACCTGCTGCTACCGTAGAGAATGTTCTGATTCCAAAGACCTTAATTGATGGGAATCCTGGCAGTAACTCTGGGGTTACTACTATCCCAAAAGCGCATGAAAATGTTAAGAAGCCATGGAGTACACTCTTTAAGGATAATCGAGCTCCATCTCATGGGATCAAACTGAAATTTGTCCCTCCTAAGGGTAATTCTCTGGACCTCTCTGACAGAGTTATGCCATCCATGGTGCCATGGTGGAGATGTGGGGGTACTGTCTCGTGGGCTGTTTCACGGGTCATTTCCCCGGCTTAAAAGCTATACATGAACTGAAAGTCAAGTGGGGTGTAAAATGCCAAATCAGGTCACATGATAAAGGTTGGGTGATTTTTAAATTCCAAACGGATGTGGACAGAATGAAAGTACTAAATGAGGGACCTTACACCATCTTCGGCAAGCTACTCATGTTGAAGGTTTTATCGGAAGATTTCACGTTTGACGATGAAGAGTTCCTTAAAGTGCCGATTTGGGTTAAATTCCCACACCTACCAATGAAACTATGGAATAAAGATGCCATGAGTGAAGTTGCCTCTATGGTAGGGTGCCACTAACTACGGACTTGATCACCCAAGAGAGGAGCAATCATAACTTCGCTAGGGTGCTTATTGAAGTTGATGTGTCAAAACCGCCCCCACTTTCATTTCCTATCCGATTACCTTCACATAAGGTAATCAAACAATTGGTGGTCTATGAAACTTTCCCAAATTTCTGCTTCCATTGCAAAGAATATGGGCATAACCCGTTCATTTGTAAAAAACTACATGAGAAGGAAGTGAAGGAAAAAAATGATTTTGAAGAAAAAGTTGTTTGTGCTGCTGCATCCCAAGTGATAGAGACCAATGAAGAGAAAACTAAGGAAGTGGAGATAGGTGAGTTAAAGTTGAGGGAATTAATTGAGAGTTTGGAAACTGTACTTAGGGAGGAAGCCAGGACTGCAGTACCTATGACGGAGCTTGTGCCGAAAGATGTGCAGGTTTCCCATCCGGAAACTGCTACTGCCACACTGGCTGTTGCACTTCTGCCAACTTCCATTTCAGGGGAGGAGGAACCGAGTAAGATGGCTAACGTTACAGAGGTTCATCTTGACTCGGATACGGATGAGAAGGGTGATACTATTGACTCAGACAATGATGAGTATCCTCCTGCAGCAGATTACATAGCTAAGAAGAAGAAAAAAATCCGTCGAAAGGTGAGTCAAATGAGAAGTATAAAAGACGGCTTGGAAGAATGATTGGAAGGAAGATAAAATAATTTCAGTCATGGTCTTTGTGATGGAATTAGTTAGGGATATGTGGACTTTTAATTAATTTGTGAAGTGGAGACTGTCCCATTTTTTGATGCATTATATCTAGGTTAGTTTATTCTAGCTTAGATAGTCATTTTGATTTGGATTTGATGCATTGTAAAATGCTATTTTTCGATTTCTAATATACTTAGATGTTATCGAAAAAAAAGGGGTCATATAGGAGCCATCATTATATTTAAGTTGAAGAATGATTTTTATAATAATGGGCACAAATGATTCAAAGACGGTCAAAGCAGACCCCGAATCACCTAATTCTAATGCAAAAGACTTACAACAAGAGAAATAATTAATGAAAATGTAAACAGTCTGATCATGAAAAATAAATACAAATAACAAAAAACGGTAAAAATAAATTTCTGCTCCATCTTCAAGAGCACTATCGCACTGAAGGAAATGAAAAAGCAGATAGGGAGTAAATTACGGACTTAATTGTATCTCCTTTCCGTATCTCGTCGAAATTGTTAATGAAAATACCGGCGTATTTCCTGCGATGTCCATATCCTTGTAAAGGAAAAAAAATGAGAACTTCTCTGATCGGTGGTTTCACTAATTGTTGGGGTTTGGGGTTTTGTAATGCAAATATATAAAGTAGCAGAGATAATACAGAATCCTGCCACCACTAAAACTCCAGCGCTGATGAAGTCCGATAGCTGTGACCTTTTCCAAAACACTACTACTGCCATCAGCACAAATCCGACACCATATGCAATGCTGCGGGGAATATAATACACATCCGTAAGCACGTATAGTTTACTCATTACGTCCCAATTTAATTTACAAAATCTTCTATTTTAGCTATTCGATTTTGTACTTTCTATACTCCCTCCGTCCCAATTTGTTTTGCGAAGTCAACATTTTTTTGTCAATCAATAATAAAAGTCAATGCTCCTTATGGATAATTAATTCAATTTTTAATAATTAAAATTTACATATTCATAAAGTACATTAAAATCTATTCAAAGTTATGAACTTCAAATTAAAATATAATTAAAAATTGACATCCTAATTAAGTGATTAAAATTAAACTGTTTGACCAAGAAAAGTCAAATTTGCAAATCAATTTGGGACGGAGGTAGTACTTTCTATTTTAATGTATTACTCCCTCCGGCCTCCGTCCCGCTAAAATTGTCCATTTTATCTTTTTGATCCGTTCCACTAAGATTGTTTCATACTCCCTCCGTCCCCGAAAGAAGTTCACCATTGCTTTTCACACATATTAAGGAAAGAAATTTACTGGGGGTAAATTTTACTGTTTGGACACTGTTTAGATATTGTTTGACACTGTTTTGATATAGATAATTTTCCAGATAAGGAAAGGTGAACTTAATTTAGGGACTACCCAAAAAGGAAAGGGTAAACTTGTTTAAGGGACGAAGGGAGTACTAAATTAGGTAAAGTTTGTGTGGATCTAAATCATTCTTACTTTATTCTTACTATATCAATTTAATATATATCACATAAATCACTTTTTATTAATTTGCGTGTCACTCTCTCTTCTCCCATTGTTAGTGGGACAAAGAGAGTAATATTTTTTATGAAAAAAATATTGTTAAATTTTCAAAATCTATTTTTTTAATTTTTTTTACTAATACAAAATTATTAATTTTTTTAATTTAATATATGTTTTTTACTAAAACATATGAAAAACTCCATTATAGGACTACTAGTTTAATCTTAAGTAGCGTATGACTAAAAAAATGGTGGAATGCCGAAATTGCCCTGTGACACACTTCTTCCGTTCGCCACTTGCGAGCCCTGCGATGAATGCAGCTCCTCCTCCTCCTCCCCCTCCTCCCCCCCCCCTCCCCCCCTCCTCCTCTTCTAATTTCTAATCCTTTGTTTTCTTCTTCTTTTCATTTTTAGGATTTGAATTTTATTTACTCCATATTAATTTGGAATTTTTGGATCTTAATTTTATCTATTCAGCAAAATGCCACTTTTGTAATCTGAAATGCCAAAATTATTGGTTATTTGAAAAAACTTTCACATTTGTGGCAATATACTTATCAGAATGACAATCTGAAAATGTCATGTCCATAAGAAAATGTCATTTTTATGTCATTTTATGGCATTTTTATGGCTTATCTGAGAATGACATAACTACTTGTTAGTAGAAATGACATGTTTTTGACATGTTTTCCAAATGATGTCAAAATTTTCATCCTTAAATTGCCATAGTTTTTTATCTAAAAAAATTCATATTTTTTACAACTAGGAATGTCATGTTTAGAGTGTCAGTTTTTTGAGGAACAATGTCAGTCTTATGACATACTGTCATCTTGATAAATGCAATGTCATAAAAGTGTCATTTTTCTAATTGCTTGTAATTTATGGCATTTTGATGTTCCAAATTAATCAAAATTAATAAACAAAAAATTTAAATCTAAAGAAGAAGAAAACAGAGGACCCAGATTCGAAGAGGATGGGAAGGAGAGGACAAAAAAAGAAAAGAAGAAGAAAAAAGGAAAAAGAAGAAGAGGAGAAGGAGAGGAGGTCACCTGTCACGGTGGAGGAACTGCAGCGGCTCCAATGCAGCGGCTCCAATCTTGAGGACGGCTCCAATCTGGAGGACGGCTCCAATCTGGAGGAATTGAACCCTCTTCTTCTTAATGAGATTGTAGTTTTCAATTATTAAAGTGGAGCAATTGATTGTATTGAAATTATTCTTGACTTCAATGGCGAACTTGGAAAAGAATAGAGACTGGAGAGCAACGACTTCCATGGAGAGCAGTGGCGTTAATGGGAGAAACGCAGCTGAGCAGAAGAAATCGCACACACCGAACAGAGAGAGGCGGAGAAATTGAGTTTAATTAGAGGAAGGGTAAAAGTGTAATCTGGAGTCCTATTTGGGAAATAAAAGACTTGATGTCCTATCTTGGAATTTAGTCTATGTTTTAGTCTGCACAATTTCTTAAAAGTAAAAGTAGTAAAGTACCGTACCATAGGATAACATTGGCTCGTCCCATGAAGTCTTTAAAACGACAAAAATATGCAATAATGGATGCAAAACCAGCAAGCACAATAAGAATCGCCCCTGAAATCACACAAGGGAATATGGCTCTGCAGCTCGACGCGCCGTCCTCATTTCCCTACATGTTATTACATGTATATATATATATATTCCGGGAAGGAGGGAGAATGTAGCATTAGTACGTGGTTTCAAACTACAAATGTAAGACTAAACTTAATGACGAAAGTCTTATATACCCTTGAATAATTTCCCAGGGCACGGTGGTCAACTGGTCACTCCCAAGGCGGGTTGGTCATCGGAGCGTGGTGGCGGAGCACCGGCAACAGCGGCCGGAGGACATGTTGCCGGAAGTGGCCGGAGGTGACGGTCAGTACAGTGGCCAGAGGTGGTAGCCATCGGCGGCGGCGGTCACTATCAAACGAGGTAACTGTAAATGGCCCAAATAGGTAATTGCAATGGGTCAAGTCAGATAACTGTAGTTGATTGGTTCGGGTAACTGTAACTAATCGGGTCAGGTTAATGAGTGGGTTCGGACAGTGGGGCGGGTCTTGGCACTATCAGCTAAAGTCACTAGGGTAAATTAGTAAGTTTAAAACTTATAAGTCACATTTATGAATTTTTTTAAAAATAACTTGTTTTTGTCTGACGGCTTCGATTTAGGATGTTTTTACTTGGACTGTAGTTTGTCCCAGATCAGACTAGACCAGACCAAAACAAACCAGACCAGACTTGGATAGTTATAAAAATACAAAGAAACCCGACCATACAAGACCAGTTCAGACCATATCAAACCAGATCAGACCAGACCAGCAACAGAGGGACATCATATATTCATATATATGATGAATATATAACTCTCTAGCTCCCTCATTCGAGACCATCAAATTAAAACAACTAATATGCACACACGTCTAAGTGTAATTATAAAACTAATTGCCTTATATAGGGGCAAATTAAAGCAATTATGAAAAAAATAGGATAAGAAACACAACGTTTTTTCATAATTTATTTAATTGATCTTTCGATTGAATTTTAAACTAAAATTTGGTAGAAATAATATAAATTTCATGAAAATAATGCTCACAAAATTTATCAAAAAAATTACCCCAAGTCGGTGGGCCAATCAAGGCCCCTTATCCCTTAGCTATACGTACCTCCGTCCCTGCGAGCAAGTAAGAATTACAGATTATTTGAATGAATATATGAAGTCCATTTGCACATACCCTAGACTTGAAAGCTCCGAGAATGCCATCAACCATGCCTGCAATTGCCATTATTGAAACAAATGTAATCAGGAATTCAGGAGACACGCACCGGTAGATCCCATCAACCCTAAACTTGGAGATCGATCTCTTGTTATGAGGCAGAACTAATTAATATTAATTGCCTAGACAATCTCTTGTACTCCGTATAACTTTGCTATATATTTGAGTGTATATATACTACGTACTACTTATAGGAGTATGTTAATTACGCCTTTTTCAATAAGTTGAAACAAACTATTCATGCCAGGACATACCTAAGGGCTACTTATACCACCTTAGCTTTGAATTCTTTAGTCTTCAAATATACGGAATATATAGTTATCATTACTCCTTCATACGTAATATCTGACTTAAGTACTCTGTACGTAATATCTGACTTAAGTAACTAGTTACTTCTAGGAGGTAGTAGTAAAAGTTGATAATGTTTGAAAAAAAGTGATTTTGAAAAGTAAAAGTTGGTAGTATTTGGTAAAATAAGTGTTTTTTTGTATAATAGAAAAAATGAAACACTTTTCACACAAAAGTCGAGAAACGCTTTTTAAAATAGAAATTGTCATTTGAAAACACTTTTTTTTATTATTTTTTTTAAGCCAAAAACTGAGAAACGCTTTTTTGAAGCAGTTGCAAACACTCCCTTAATAATAATGCATAACAATGTCGCATAGCTGTGGTATAAACATTTGCATCATTTAATGAGTTATAAAATGGTTTTAAAAATAATGATAACATTTATTATTCAAAGTCAATAAGAGAGACACACTGAGGGATATTAACCCCATGATATTTAGTAATAGGACTCTGATACCAATTACAACACCAATATTAGAATATTAAATATTAACTAAATATATTCTAGCATAATGAAATTGATTCGTTCTGTCATATAATTTCTATGGAAAATTATTAAGGCACACCTTGGGTTACACCGTGGGGTACACCCCATTTATTTGCCCTTCACACAAACAAAAAACGTAAAAACTCAGACACTTTCAATTAAACTGTCGGTGTGAGTTTGCAGATCTGTCAGGCTGGTTGCACGCAAACCAATGTCGGTGTGCACAGACACTAGTTGTCTGTGTAGACAAAAAAATGTCGGTGCGAGCAAAGTTGGTTTGCAAGTTCGGGGGGTGGGGGTGGGAAACTAGTATCGGTGTACACAGACATTAGTTGTCTGTGTAGAAAAAAGTGTCTGCACATATACAATTTTTGTCGGTTTTCTTTCCTTCTCTCTTTTTACGTTTTATGCACACCAACACTGATTTGCTTTCAGTGTCTGTGTACACCGACAAAAATTGTATATGCATTGACACTTTTGTTTCTACACAGACAACTAATGTCTGTGTACACCGACGAAAATTGCATATGTACAGAAACTTTTTTCTACACCGACAACTAATGTCTGTGTACACCGACACTGGTTTCCCAACCCCCTGAACTTGCAAACCAATTTTGTTCGCACCAACACTTTTTTGTCTACACAGAGAACTAGTGTATGTGTACACCGACATTGGTTTGCGTGCAACTAGCCTGACAGATCTGCAAACACACAAAGACAGTTTAATTGAAAGTGTCTGTTTTTCATGTTTTTTGTCTGTGTGAAGGGCAAATAAATGGGGTGTACCCCTGGGTGTAACCCAGGGTGTACACCAAGAAGGATTCAATTTCTATAGACATTAGTTTTCGCAGCTTGTTGTGTAAAATAGAACTTAGAGAGTAAAGAGTAATACATAGAAGCCATGATCACTACAAAAAAAAGGCGGGATTGGCACGGAATTTGGCACGGACTTATCAATTTTTCGTGCCAAATAGCTCGTGCCAAAGTGTTTTTGGCACGGATTTGACGTATCCCTGCCAAAATCCGTGCCAAATCCGTGCCAAAATCCCTGTCAATCCCGTGTTTTTTTTGTAGTGGATAAATGATCAAAGGAATCTTATAAGAGCGAAGATATCCAATCCAAGAAACATTTATCTAAACAAAGTACGATTACACATCGCAATGTATTCAGTAATGAATAAATACACCACAAATTAAGACACCCGAATATCATTTATCCGGTATGTTTATTTGGATGTGCTTCTCATTATTTCTTCTTTTTATGCATTTTAACATATACTTCTTTTTCTCATTGATCCTCTTAGTGCTTCATGTGCTTCTTTTTCTTTTATGCATTTGCAATAAAAATACAACAACTATATTATATGACAATAATATAACAGTGGCATATCATATTAATAGCCTATAATATAACAATTCACTATGACACTTGGAAGTGACTAATTGTTAGTTTTTCTATTTCTGTAACAAATCTCACCCAAAGTATGCAATAAAAAATGAAATTACTATTTAAAGCAACCTATAATAATATATATAATCAAAAGCTCTAACTTCACTCAAAATTTCCATGTATCTTTAAAAAAACTGTTCAACTCTAAACAAGGACAAGATACATCTGAAATGAGGAGTAGGAGTAAATTAGATATTTCATGACAAATGGGTAAACTATGTTGGATTTTCAAATGAATTCCAAACTGTAATTCAACAAATGAATCCAACATTAACAAACACGCTAACATTCATAAGGATTTCAGTAGAGTACAAAGTTTACATCAAACCAAGTCCAATATGAAGAATATATATAATAGCCTATATCTAATAAAGTTATTCCACAAGAGTTACGATTCAGGTTGTTTTTGTCTTAAAAAAAGACACTAAGTTGATTGAGTAAAGAAATTGTGTTTATACCTCTCAGTGCATTATGCAAATTAAAATATGATTGACATAAAGCATAAATGGCTTTGGCTAACATAATTGACCATTGGGGCAGTCTGGGGTATGCTGGTACAGGACCAAAGAACAGCCACATTTCGACTATTAATGAGTAAAGTCTCTGGAAAGACTATCAAAAACATTAATGAGTAATGTTAGTTTTTGAGTCAATATCATCTTCTCCCCTGCCTTCATGCCACAACTCTTAACAATTCTTCACATATAATCCATTTATATACTAAATAAGCCAAGAAAACTAAGTAAGTAGTGGACTGAGGTGCAAATTAAATAATTTAGTTTTCCTTGTAGATCTTAACACCTAAGAATTGATATTCATAAAAATGCATTACCAACTTAAAATTGAGAAAATTGAGTCAGCGTGATAGCCTAAACCACAATTGAAACTTAGATGGAAGGTAATCCACCGCACCTCAATTCAAAATCATAAGAGAAAGTCAAATTTAAAAAACGAGGTGTTACATTAATGAACAAAGTAAAGGTTTTGTCAAAGAGATGCTTAATCACCACAGTCGGTGTTAGGGCATTCCTAGCCAAGTCGTAGGACCTTTTTAGAATCATCAACCTGGTAGAACTGCAATTCTATGAGCTTAATCTTGTGTTTCTTCGCACCACCGTGGAGGAAGATTACGAGGAGAAGGTCGGACTGTCTCTGGATCAGGTAGTCTATAGGGTGCGGCCGTCATCGAGCTGCTTCCTCGTGAAGAGGTCCGGCCTGGTCTAAGCATTAAAGCAAACATGTCTTAAAAACATAGCATCGTTTCCAATTTCCAATTTAAAATAAAACACATTCACTTTTTTTTTTTGAAAAATTTCTCTTCACACACAAAGAGTTGCTGATGAGTTGGGATGTACAAGAAGCTTATGTAGCTATGCAGGATAAAATTACTGCAAGCAGCTGGAGAAAAGCTCTAGGTAGGCTATGGTGGTGACATTTCCCTAATTGAAAATCTTAAGCCCAGGTGCCTTTGAGAAGAGGGGTGATGGCGGCAGCCTCCCCGCCAAAAGCGCTGACCAAACCTGAGGAACAGGGCTCGTGATGGCCCTCCATATCCTCCACTTCCATCTTCACCTCCCGTCCCAGCTCCTCATCAATGTTATCGGAAGCCGGTATTAGCAGAAACTCACACCCCTCATAGTTCAAGAAATCCGGCGGGTCTGCCGGACTGAACTTCCTCTGCCCCATCTCCGCCTGCAGATGTGCCGGAAACACAGCCCTCCTCTTCCTCTGCAGCCCTCTCCAGCCCCCACGCCCACTCTGTTCTTCCGGGTTCTTGATCTGTATTATAAACGAAGCTTCTCTCTTTATGTTAAGCTCCTCTTGCGGCTCGTTTCTCCCGTCCTCCGCCGGGAATTCCAGCTTGTATACTAAATGGGTGTGCATTTTCTTCCCCGGATTATGCCTCAGGATGAGATAAACTCCCTCGCCGGCCGCCCTCGCTGGGCCCACCGTCCGGTGACCTCTGGTCGAAGTCTCGTACTCCTCCCCCTTCAAAGCTGCTTTCACGTCCTCTGTTTTTGTCGTCACCATCTCCACGAACCCCCAATTCGGGCTGTGACCGGATTTCTCACCCGACGGGTCGGGCAGACTCTTCCTCCCCATGACGATCAACCGGAGCAGGAGCTGCTTCTCGATGTTGATTTCTTGGCACCCATGTCCGCCGTCGACGTGCGATTCGTCCTTCCTCTCCGACGTGACGTCACGGGTTGGTTCGTCTTCGCCGGTGTGAGCTCCGAGCTCGGCTCCTTCCTTCCCGGAGCTCTGTTCTTGCTTGACTTCGACCTCCCTCTGGCCGGACTCTGGTCGGAGAACTATGTAGAGTCGTTGCACGTCGTCCCTGTCGTGGGCTTCTTCCTCGCCGACTTTTGGCCGGTAAAAGAAGAAAATTTCCCCACGTTCCTACAGCAAAGCATAAAAAGTTAAGAACCAAACGGATTGAGGATTAATTGTGATGAAAAAATTCACCTGTACTTCAACAGAGGGATCGCTTGTTCTTGACTGGGATTTTTTTTCTTCACCCGCCATGTTTTATGTTGCTATCTGTTTACGGCATGAGCTTGGTTTTTATATGCCGGCCGGTGGAAGAGGCTGTGTCCATGTCCTTACAGCAGGCAGTCAGCAAGGATGAGGATACGTGTCCTTCACTTGGCCTGCCAAAACAACGGGATGGGCTGCCACTACTCTATCTTCGGGATAACGTGTTCATTGGGCTGCTTGGCAATGGCCTACACGTTCAGAACTACTCTCCCTCCGTTCTTTTTTATTAGTCTTTTTTTTTTTCATTTTTGAGACGTTTTTTTATTTGTCCTCCTTTCCCTTTAAGGGAAGTTTTTGAGAAAATACCTCCACTTTTATTACTTTTACCCCACTTACTTTTTACAAATTACTTTCTCTTTCCTACTTTACTATCACTTTACTCTTTTTATTACACTCTCTTTCCTACTTTATCATCACTTTATTCTTTTTAATATATCATCTTTCCTATTTTATCATTTACCCTACACACGATATACTTACCCTACTACTTTATTATTAAAACTCGTGTCAAACTCTAAGAGGACTAATATAAAAGAACGGAGGGAGTACCAAAAGTTTCATTTCTTGAATTCTTTTTTGAAAAAATAAAAATATTACTGTACGAGTTTTATTTTCACAAAAATGTGAATAATTTTTATATAATTAATGCACATTTCTTTTAAGGTGTTCCCCTAAAATATGACTAAATTAAGTTGATTTCTAAAAGAATGACTTTCTTTTTTATATGAATAAAAATGTGACTAACAAAGTACGGAGTAATAAATTTAAAAAATAATACTCCCTCCATCCCTAAAAACTTCGTCAAGTTTGACCGACACGAGAATTAATAAAGTAAAAACTGTGTGGTTCAGGTTTGTGCAGAAGAGAGACAGAATTATCTGGAACCATACGTTCTTTACTTAAAAGGGAAAGTGACAAAATTAGTGGGACATCCAAAAAAGAAATTTGACAAAGTTTTAAGAGACGAGGAGAGTATGTCATTGTTAGTTTTTGGTCACTAACAGTTACGTCACTCCCGCCGCCACATATGTCATTAAAATTTTTTCGTCTGACTTAAAAAAAAAAAGAAAAAACTAAAAAGGGGAAATTAAATTTTCATAAAAACATTTCTGGTAACATTTCCGTCAGAGATTTCCGATAAGCCAAAGGCTCGACTATAAGCCCGCTTCCCAGGACCCGACCCGCGTGATCTTATGTCGTTATTCCGGTCTGGTTTGGTCATGTACCTTAAAAAACGGGGCAAAAGGGTGAAATAGATCCGTCCACAATAGCAAATCAATCACTTAAACCAATGTACTATAAAAACCGTCATACATGCATTTACTCTTAAAAAACAATCAACTAACCCAAAATACTTGAAAATGACCTTTAATAATAGGTTACCTCCCATTTTAATTTTAATTTTTTTTATATTTTTTAATTTTTAATTTTTTTGTTTTTTTAATTTTTCAATTTTTAAGATTTTTTAATTTTTACATTTTTTATATTATAATGTTTTGTCCATTCACGTAGGAGAAAAATGATGGATACTTTGTCGTTATCAACACGTTTCCTCAAAAATAACCCGATTTGGGGGTTGAGAATGGAAGGAAGCGGAGGATTTTGGAAGCCTTCGACTTTCCTCCCCTTCCCCCCCTATTCCCTTCAACAAACACACACAAATCACCCACTTCCCTCCCAAATCCTCCAACCAAACAGAGTAGAAGCTTCTCATCTACTCTATGACAAAGAAGATTGACAGGTTTCCAGTCACCAGCCATTCTTCCATATGTATGCATCGGAAGTTTACCATCGTCAATCCATCCGACCTTCTATATGGTCGATGCCTCCTTGGCTCCTTCATGTCAATTTGAAGCAAGACTTTAGGATTTTATCAATGTACTCTCAGCCAACCAGCGCCGGTCTTGACTAATTATGGGCCCGGGGCAAAAGACCAAAAATAGGCTCTATAGATGTTAGTGCCGGTGAATGCTTGCAATATAAGATCCCCTACAAAAAGCTCGTGATTAAAAAGCGAAAATGCAAAAAAGCAATCGGCCAATTGTATGGAAATATTTAAAGATATTGTTAGGCTCATAATTTAATAGGCCGGAGCACCGCCGAACTACCCGGATTAGCCCAGCAACGGTTAGGAAAGTTCTAGCAATCCAACCTAGCAAAGACCAACTCTACATGGAAAGGGATCAAGCAAGGAAAGAAATAAAGAAGGCTCTTACTCCCCTTAGTTAATTTAAACATCCAAGGAAAGAAAATCATGTATTAATTAATATACTATGTATGGACCAAGGAGGAGGGCATAAATACACGATCAACTATGATCAAAAGCCACTTTGGATTCTAGCAAACCATTACGATTAAGCAAGAAGCCTTTGTTCGAATATTAATCTATTCTTATTGCTATTTCTTTTGTTCTTAATCTCCTTAGTGTTGATTCTTAGTTGTTCGATTCCCTCACAATCATTATTCATAGTTTAGCTTAATTTGGCTAAAACAATTTGGCGCCGTCTGTGGGAAAATCTTGCAAAAAAAAGAAATCAACCATGACCGAAAAATCAAACACTTTGGTAGAGGAGATTCAAACCCAATTGGAAGCTGTTCGAGAAGAATTGCGTGCGGCCAAGAGATCCGACCAGTCGAGGGAAGAGATGCAGACCCAGCTGGAAGCCGTCAGGGAGGAGATGCGTCAGCGAATAGCCTTCCTCCAGGGGGAGAATGACGCTTTGCGTTCCCAGGTGCAGTCGGTGGCGTCCATAGCCTCGAACTCACGACGGGGAAAGGAGATCATGACCGTGGCTTCAAGGTTGGACATGGATTCAATGCCTGCTCCGACCTCAACCATGGACATGGAGTCAGCACCGGTTTCAACCTCAACATTCTCCTTCATGAAGGAATCGTTCCCGGAGATGGTGGGTTTTGATTCGAATGACGGAATTTACTCCCCGGTAATTTCACAGCTTATACCATATGAACCCCTCATCCCGGAAACAGCCCCAAATACAAGAACCCCGATATGTTCTTTCCCAGATTCGTTGCGGGTCAGACCGACGACATCACGATTGCAGACTATCAACCAGCCAATGCCGTCGTCGAACATCATGTCGTCACTTGCAGTACCTGTCGTCCCTTACCATGAAGGCGGCACATCTGGAGGAGCAGGACCATCAAGTCGTCCTGGCTCATTCCCGCTTCCCAGAAGGAATGTCTCTCGGAACTTGTTTACAGAGCCCCAAAGAAGACAAATTCCAAGACATGTCAACATATTCAGACATGTCGACGCCGGCAACCCAAGGCCTCTGGAACCAGAAATCATCAATATATCGTCGCCAGCCGAACGAAGAGCCGCTCAGACGCCACCACCACATGAAGCGTCAGTGTCACCATTGCAAACATATCTGGTAAACTCGCTGGCCACCCTCATGGAAGAGATGAGAGAGATGCGGGAAAAGGTCAACGGGATACCTGGAGTTCCGCCACCGCTGGATGTCGCCTCGCAAACATGCTATGCCGAATCCCCATTTGGACGACATATTACCGATGTCGAAATTCCAAGGAAGTTTGCCGCACCTACAATGAGGCTGTTCGACGGGACGTCCGATCCAGTGGAACATGTCGCTCAGTATAAACAGCGAATGCTGGCCATTTCAGTCAGACCTGATCAGCGAAAGGCCTGCATGTGTAGGGCCTTCGGAACAACATTAACTGGACCAGCGCTGACATGGTTTGTCAACCTACCAAATGAGGGCATAAACTCATTCGCTGAATTGGTCAACTTATTCAACCAACAATTCGCGAGTAGTCGAACTCTGGAAAAGCAGACCAGTGACTTATATCGTGTGGTCCAGGGGCAAAATGAATCTCTGCGAGATTATCTACATCGCTTTAACAAGGAGAAGGTGTCGATTCCCAGATGCGACATGCCGACCGCCGTGGAGGCATTCAGGAGAGGATTACTTGAAAACTCAGAGTTATACAGGGAGTTGACCAAATATCCGTGCAGGACCTTTGGTGACGTCCAGGCCAAAACCTTAGCCTTCATACGACTCGAAGAAGATCAACATGCACGTCATCGGCCTGATGAATATGAAGGAGGACAACGGAAAGCAAACACTTCCAGAAAACACGACTACAGGACGGGGAAGCCTTATGCGAGGAATGAAGATCGACCTGTAGCATCGGCGACTACTTGGCTTGATGATCCTAGCCTGCCACCTTCCATCCCAGCATACTGCTTCAATGTCAACACTACTGGCCTTATCAACGCCCTAGATAAATTGGGAGAGAAGGTCCGATGGCCTAGGAAGTCAGACAAATCCAGCGGGCGACAAGATCCCAATAAGAGATGCGACTTCCACGACGACATTGGACACAACACGGAGGATTGTGTCGCGTTGCGAAAAGAGGTTGCCTACCTCTTGAGGAACGGGTACCTAACGGAGATCATGTCAGAACAGACGAAATCCATGTTACACAGGAGTCAGAAGTCGTCCATAGATCAGAAACGACCTCCTTCACCTACACCGCCACAAAAGGTAATTAATTTCATTAACGGTGGTTCTGATTTATGTGGACTAACCTACTCTGCAGCGAAGAGACAAGCTCGGGAATATTCCCGAGACAAGTCATCACAGGTGTATCAAATCGTCCGAAAGGAAGAGGCTTGGAGAAATGCACCCATCACGTTCGATGAAACGGATCTGATGAGCCCAAATGATGCTCATCATGACACCTTAGTCATTGCTCTTAGGGTGGCAAATTGTGAGGTGAGACGAGTTCTAGTTGACAATGGTAGCACTGCCAACATCACAACGTTAAAGACACTAAAACAGATGGGGTACAAGGAGGAAGACCTGACTGTCTCCGGCTCCACCCTCGTCGGATTCAATGGCGAGCCAAGTCAGACAATAGGTAACGTTTCTTTGCCTATACATGCTGTTGGTCTTAATTTGCAGGTAAAATTCGATGTAGTCCAAGATCTGCCCGCCTACAACATGATATTGGGGACGCCTTGGCTACATCAAATGGGGGCAATTCCATCAACATACCACCAGGTTGTCAAAGTCCCAACGCCATGGGGAGTGCAATCCATCCAAGGTGACAGGGCCACTGCTAAG